CCAGCACAGGCCAGAGAGGAGCCCGTGAGCCCAGGATAACCCAGAGAGGGGCCTGTGAGCCCAGCACAGCCCAGAGAGGAGCCCATGAGCCCAGCACAGCCCAGAGAGGAGCCCGTGAGCCCAGCACAGCCCAGAGAGGGGCCCATGAGCCCAGGATAACCCAGAGAGGGGCCTGTGAGCCCAGGATAACCCAGAGAGGGGCCCGTGAGCCCAGCACAGACCAGAGAGGAGCCCATGAGCCCAGGTTAACCCAGAGAGGGGCCTGTGAGCCCAGCACAGCCCAGAGAGGGGCCCGTGAGCCCAGCACAGCCCAGAGAGGGGCCCATGAGCCCAGGACAGGCCAGAGAGGGGCCCGTGAGCCCAGGATAACCCAGAGAGGAGCCTGTGAGCCCAGGATAACCCAGAGAGGGGCCCGTGAGCCCAGGATAACCCAGAGAGGGGCCCGTGAGCCCAGAGAGGAGCCCGTGAGCCCAGCACAGCCCAGAGAGGGGCCCGTGAGCCCAGCACAGCCCAGAGAGGGGCCCGTGAGCCCAGCACAGCCCAGAGAGGGGCCCGTGAGCCCAGGACAGGCCAGAGAGGAGCCCGTGAGCCCAGCACAGCCCAGAGAGGAGCCCGTGAGCCCAGCACAGGCCAGAGAGGGGCCCGTGAGCCCAGGATAACCCAGAGAGGAGCCCGTGAGCCCAGCACAGCCCAGAGAGGGGCCCGTGAGCCCAGCACAGGCCAGAGAGGGGCCCGTGAGCCCAGCAGAGCCCAGAGAGGAGCCCATGAGCCCAGGATAACCCAGAGAGGAGCCTGTGAGCCCAGCACAGCCCAGAGAGGGGCCCATGAGCCCAGGACAGGCCAGAGAGGGGCCCGTGAGCCCAGGATAACCCAGAGAGGGGCCCATGAGCCCAGCACAGCCCAGAGAGGGGCCTGTAAGCCCAGCACAGCCCAGAGAGGAGCCCGTGAGCCCAGGATAACCCAGAGAGGGGCCCGTGAGCCCAGGATAACCCAGAGAGGGGCCTGTGAGCCCAGCACAGCCCAGAGAGGGGCCCGTGAGCCCAGGATAACCCAGAGAGGGGCCTGTGAGCCCAACACAGGCCAGAGAGGGGCCCGTGAGCCCAGGATAACCCAGAGAGGGGCCCGTGAGCCCAGCACAGGCCAGAGAGGGGCCTGTGAGCCCAGGATAACCCAGAGAGGGGCCCATGAGCCCAGCACAGGCCAGAGAGGGGCCTGTGAGCCCAGCACAGCCCAGAGAGGAGCCCGTGAGCCCAGCACAGACCAGAGAGGGGCCTGTGAGCCCAGGATAACCCAGAGAGGGGCCTGTGAGCCCAGGATAACCCAGAGAGGGGCCCGTGAGCCCAGCACAGGCCAGAGAGGGGCCCGTGAGCCCAGGATAACCCAGAGAAGGGCCCGTGAGCCCAGCACAGCCCAGAGAGGGGCCCGTGAGCCCAGGATAACCCAGAGAGGGGCCTGTGAGCCCAGCACAGCCCAGAGAGGAGCCCGTGAGCCCAGCACAGGCCAGAGAGGGGCCTGTGAGCCCAGCACAGGCCAGAGAGGGGCCCGTGAGCCCAGGATAACCCAGAGAGGAGCCCGTGAGCCCAGGATAACCCAGAGAGGGGCCTGTGAGCCCAGCACAGGCCAGAGAGGGGCCCGTGAGCCCAGGATAACCCAGAGAGGAGCCCGTGAGCCCAGGATAACCCAGAGAGGGGCCCGTGAGCCCAGCACAGGCCAGAGAGGGCCCGTGAGCCCAGCACAGGCCAGAGAGGGGCCCGTGAGCCCAGCACAGCCCAGAGAGGGGCCCGTGAGCCCAGCACAGGCCAGAGAGGGGCCCGTGAGCCCAGCACAGCCCAGAGAGGGGCCCGTGAGCCCAGCACAGGCCAGAGAGGGGCCCGTGAGCCCAGCACAGCCCAGAGAGGGGCCCGTGAGCCCAGCACAGGCCATGGAAGCAGCTCTGATGCTCCAGGCTGAACAGATGCCACAGCTCTGTGACACAGAAGCTCTTTGGGTGGCTCAGGAGGGCACTGAGGGCACGCACACAGCACCTGCCATCACAGGCAGCATTGCACCCACACAATTATAGACTAAGCAAAAACCCAGTGTAAAATCTGCATTTACAATCCTAAAGATGCTCTTCCAAGCTCACAAACCCCAGTCTGTCCCAGTTCCAGGGGTCCAGTGCAGCAGAAGGCCAGGCTGTGGCTGCTCAGCAGGGTACACAGAGCTGAGAGCACAGGGCCCAGAAGGTTCTGCTCCGTGGGTGTGTCACAATCACCTCCTCTGCAGACAGACTCACAGCCATGCCCAGCCCCAGCCTGCCCACAACACACACATTTTCCAGCAGCCTGGGAAATCTTTCTGCCTAGAGTACAGCAAGATGCTGAGCTACCTGAGAGAAGAGCTCAGAGGCTCTCACTGGTGTCTCCACACCTGAACAGCCTCACACTGAATCCCACTGGTGTCTCCACACCTGAACAGCCTCACACTGAATCCCACTGGTGTCTCCACACCTGAACAGCCTCACACTGAATGCCACAGGCAGCCCAGCTCACCAGGAAGAGACAAGCAGGAAAGACAAACAGAACCTAAAAACACCAGAGCAGGAACTGCTGCTTCCACACAAGAGAACCTGCTCAGGTGTGGATGTTTGTATGTGTTAACAAAACTGAACCAAATCACTCTGGCCTGAATCAAAACTGAGTTTCTGCTTAGTAAGGGTTTATTTTATCTACACTTGATGGCAAAATCCATAACATGTCAGTACTCAACAAAAACATTGAAAGCTAATGACCCACCTCTCAATTTTTTTAATAAACACACAACTCAGTCAGCATTCCCTGAAGAGCATCTCTCCAAACACAGGGCAGCCAAACACCTCCTCTTTCTGGCACAGGCAGAACTTCAATAACTTTTAAAAATCACACAGTTTCCAAAGGGGATACACAATAAAACTTCCTCTAGAGTATCCCACAGCCCAGTTACTGTCTCCAAGCCTTTTCCTTCCCCAGAGGCAGGCTCAAATTCCCACCTGCAGCATCCCAGGAAGAAAGGGAACACCATGGTTGGATGGTGCTCCAGGACCAACCACGAGAGCTCCCCCATCCCAGCACCCTGCCCTGCAAAAGCAAACCCTGGGGAGGCAGGAGATGCTGGGCCAAGCTGGCAGCAGGGCAGATCTCCATCCTGAGCCCTGCAGGGCTCACGGTGGCATGGAGCAGCTTATCCTGGTGCTCCTGTGGGCAGAGCTCTGTGCTGGACAGAACAGAAGCTGCAAGTGCAGGCTGCAGCCCCAGATCATGGACTGGGTTGGGATGCAAGGGATCTCAAACACCACTCGGTCCTACTCCCCTTCCATGAGGGAAGTGCGTATGGACAGGTATCCCTGGCCACGGGCAGGGCCACTTCCACTGTCTCAGGCTGCTCCAAGCCCGGTCCCACCTGGCCTTGGACCCTGCCAGGAGCGGGGCAGGCACAGCTGCTCTGGGCAGCCTGTGCCAGGGCCTCACCACCCTTCAGGAAATCATTTTTTCCCAATAACGCCTTTAACCCTGCCCTCTGGCAGTAGGAAGCCATTCCCCCCATTCCCCCTTGTCCCAAGTGCCCCTCCATCTCTCCTGGAGCCCCTTTGGGTGCTGCAAGGGGCTCTGAGCTCTCCCCAGAGCTTCTCTTCTTGAGGCCAAACACCTCCAGCCTGTCAGCATGGCAGAGATGCTCCAGCATCATAGTTATGATCATAACTACAAAGCAGTTCTATCACTTTTCATTAACTTACCTGACACTTTTTGCAGCTTACTGCCTAGACCAGAGTTTTTTAATTCATGCTATGCTTGGCTTGGCAGTGGCTGTGACTGTCACAGGGCTGATGACCCGGGTAAAGGATCTCCCTGGTGGGCAGGGGACCCCTTTATCCCACTGACCCGGGTACAGGATCTCCCGGGCATGCAGGGGGGACCCCTTTATTCCGATGACCCGGGTAAAGGATCTCCCTGGTGGGCAGGAGACCCCTTTATCCCGCTGACCCGGGTACAGGATCTCCCGGGCGGGCAGGGGGACCCCTTTATCCCGGTGACCCAGGTAAAGGATCTCCCGGGTGGGCAGGGCACCCCTTTATCCCGGTGACCCGGGTACAGGATCTCCCGGGCGGGCAGGGGACCCCTTTATCCCGATGACCCGGGTACAGGGGACCTCTTTATCCCGCTGGGCGTCAGCCGCGATGCCGCTCGCGGCCAGGGGCTCCTCCCCGGCCCGGGATGGCCGCACGGAGCCCCGGGCCCCCCGAAGCGCTCGGTGCCGGCCGCGGAGCACGGGAGGGCTCGGCCGGGCCGGGCGGGGCGGCGCAGGCCGGGATAGCGCTGGGGAGCGGCGGGGCCGGCGCGGCGGGGCTCACCTTGGGCAGCTCGCGGAGCTGGTTGGCGTCCAGCAGCAGCTCCTCCAGCGAGCGGCTGTAGCGGTAGATCTCCTCGGGCACGGCCTGCAGCGAGCAGTGCCGCCGGTCCAGCGCCTCCACGTGCCGGTTGCAGCGCCAGAGCGGCGGCATGCAGCGCAGCATCGCGCCGGGCCGCGCCGCCACAGCACGGGCCGGGCCGGCCGGCAGCACCCGGGCCGCGCCGCCACGGGAGCACGGGCCGGGCCTGCGGCAGCGCCCGGATGTGCGGGGGCCGCGCCGCGCCGGGCCGGGCCGGGCCGGGCTGCTCCCGCTGCGGCTGCGGCAGCGCCCCCGCCCCGCTCCGCTCCGCTCGGCTCCGCCGCCCTGGCCTGCCGCCGCTCCCGGCCGCTCCCGGGCCGCGCCGCCCTCCGCGGGTGCGCCTGGGAAACGGAGTCCGGGAAACGGGAAATGGAGTGCTGGGAAAGGGAATGCTGGGAAATGGAGTCCGGGAAACGGGAAATGGAGTCCGGGAAACGGGAAATGGAGTGCTGGGAAACGGAATGCTGGGAAATAAAGCCTGAGAAATGGGAAATGGAGTCCCGGGAAACGGAATGCTGGGAAATGGAGTCCTGGGAAACGGGAAATAGAGTCCTGAGCAATGGAATGCTGGGAAATGGAGTCCTGCGAAACGGAATGCTGGGAAATGGAGTCCTGGGAAACGGGAAACAGAGAGTCCTGGGAAATGGGAAACAGAGTCCTGAGAAATGGAGTCCTGGGAAATGGAATTCTGGGAAATGTAGTCCCGGAAAACGGGAACTAGAGCCCTGGGAAACGGAGTCGGCTCCGCCCCGCGGCACCGGCGGCGCTGGTGCTGGGAGGGACCCGGCTCTGGGCACACCAGCTCTGGCTGTGAAAAATGTGTATTTTATGGTTGGCTTTTTGCAAATATTAAAATGAATATTATATGTGTTATGTTAGAAAGTTGTGCCGTGTTAATTTTCTTAAGTAGTGTGTTAAATATAGTTTTAAGTTATAACAAAATGTTAAAATTGAAACTATGCTATGTAAGATACTTTTTCAAAGAGAGAACTTGCAGCAAGATAGCAGCCACAGGACACTTAAATCTTTCAGAAAAAAGGAATTTATTGCTCCCTTATCAGAAGAAATGAACTTCCCGCCTCGGTCAGCCCCCAAGACACCATCAGGATTCAGAGGAAGAAGCTGACACTGCCCAGCCAGAATCCTATGTTTGAATGGAATTTATGCATCATGGATGAGGTGCATGAATATGCAACAGGCTGTTGCTTTTAAGGGTTAATCCTCTGTTAACGTGGGTCCTTTTTCGGGTTTATTTTGCCCAGAAAAGGTACCCGGACTGTCCGTAACTCTTTATTTTTATTGTCTTGTATTGTCCTAATACAAATTATTGGATTAGGAATTGTCCAGATTAATATTACTCTTAATTGTATTGCTATTTTTATAACCATTTTATTACTATTAAACTCTTCAAATTTTAGAAACAAGTGACTGGTGTTTTTCACAGAGGAGGAGAGTGTGAGGAAGAGGAAGGAGCCCTGGCACACCCGGGCAGGCGAGGAGGAAGTCAGTGCCCCTTTCCCCCTCTGTCCTGCTGCATCTCCCAGACCCCACAGTGGAACCTGGCTGGGTGGGATCCCCCTGCAGGGCCCCCCTGTGACCTCAGCTCATCTCCATGGACACGGCTCAAACACACAGAGCCAGCCAAGAGCCGTGGGACCCGGGAAAACCTGGCTGCAGGGAAGGTCAGTGCCCTAAAACACCACATTTTATACCCCAACTTCGTCCTTTTCCCACGGGGACAGGAGAATTCTCTGACCCTCACACATCCCCTGCACCAACCCCCCGAAATTCCCCAAATCCCTGCAGCCTGGGCTGGGATTTTACTGGATTCATTCTGGTTTTCACCCATCTTCTGGAATTTTGTGGTTTTTTCCTTAAGAATTTACATGGGTTGTATTAGGAAATGAGAATCTGTAATTACAAATATTCGCTGAAACCATCAGACTTGTCAGACTCCAGCTCTAAATCCTGAAAATTCCAGCATTCTACACTGGAATAAATAGTTCAGAAATTCAGCCAATCCTGAAATTAATGCTTAAAAAGTGTTTAAAAAACCTGAATCTCAGTAAATGAATGCTGACAAATATTTTTTTAAAGAGAGTCTCCTGAAATTGGGATGTGAGATACTGGTTTTGGACAGGAGGTACTGGTTTGGGATGCAGCTGCCTCTTCAAACACTGGAATTAGTGAGGGAGGAACAGGGCAGAATTGCACTTTTTCCTCCAAACTGCAGGAATATCCCAACTCTATACAGCAAAAAAGGGGAAATCTTTAAAAATGTGCATTTTTGTTTCTCTCTTCAGTCAAATCAGGATGGGAAATGCAAATCCAGGAATGGCACCAAAGAGTTTTGGGTCAAACATTTGAGCTGCTGGAGGAACCAGTTGGAAACTCAAGGGCAGGACTGGGGCAAAATCTCTGAGGTCCTGGTTTTTTCCCTCTGTTTCAGTTTTTCACAGTTTGATGGGAATGGGGCAGAATTGCACTTCCTCCAAACTGCAGGAATATCCCAACACTACATGGCAAAAAAAGAGAAATCTTTAAGAATGTGCATTTTTGTTTTTCTCCTGAGGCAACGGGAGAAAATCAGGATGGGAAATGCAAATCCAGGAATGGCACCAAACAGTTTTGGGTCAAACATTTGAGCTGCTGGAGGAACCAGTTGGAAACTCAAGGGCAGGACTGGGGCAAAAACCCTGAGGTGCCATTTTTTCCCCTCTGTTTCAGTTTTTCAGCGTCTGATGGAATATGGCATCCAAAACAAAGAAAAGCAAGGATGAAGAGCCACCCCAGGAAAGCAGCGACACAGAGGACCCCGTCCGGGAGAGGAAGCTGTACCTGCAGGAGGAATGCAGGATCCTCTCCCAACACCTGGACACCTACCTGGGCAGGGCGGAGCAGCTCCTGCAGGGCACCAAACACCTGGAAAAGGAAGCCCAGCGCACTGAGGAGCAGAGCCACTCCTACCTGTGCTGCGGAGCGAAGCTCAGCCAGGACCCCCCGGGCATGATCATCACCCTGAGCGACCAGAACCGCCAGGACCTGGTCCAAATCCAGGCGCAGAAGGAGGAGCTGGTGCCGCGCTACGCCGGCAAGGAGCGGGAGGTGTGGAGCGCCCTGGAGGACACGGAGGCCGAGGCCTCGCGCCTGGACACGGAGCTGCGGCAGCTGGAGCCCTACAAGGAGCAGAAGGTGCAGGCGGAGCAGAGGGTGAAGGCGCTGGAGAAGGAGCTGCGGGTGACCAGGATCCGCTGCGCCGAGGAGACCCACGCCGTCAGGAGCAAGTTCCTGCAGGACAAGGCCGAGTGCGAGCAGCAGTTCCACCGCAGGATGCAGCAGCTCACCTGGGGCGCGCAGGAGGTGGCCATGAGGGCTCTGATCCAGCACGTGGAGCAGGTGAAGGCCGAGAACAGGCTCCTGCGCCACGAGCTGATGGGCCTCCTGCAGCACTGCCAGCTCCTCAGGGACACCAGGGTCAAGCTGCAGGACCAGCAGGAGCAGCTGCTCCGGGAGAACCGCTGCCTCCAGCTCACACCAGCGCGGCGCCGCAGGGACAGCCTGACCCGCTCGCCCATCAGGGCCAGCCACTGACCCCAGACCACCCCAAACCACCCCAAAGCACCTGGCCCTGACCTGCAGGAGCCAGGCAGGGAAGCAACCAAACGCTTCTGGCAGTGGGAGCACTGAGGGCTTGGAGCTCTTGTCACAAAGATCCATCAAATACATTTATGGACCAGATCCATACTGATGTTCTCCTTCTGTCCCAGCGAGGAGGTGGCTGCCCCGGCCCTGGAAGGGCTCAAGGCCAGGCTTGGACGGGGTTTGGAGCAGCCTGGGCTGGTGGGAGGTGTCCCTGCCCATGGCAGTGGGGTGAGATTTTCCAGAATTCCATGAAATTATGGATCTCAGTGCAAATGGCTCCCATGGGAGCAACCTGTGCCTGCAGCAGCAGCAGCTCTTGGGCTCTGCAGGAGGGAGGTCCCAGGGACCCTCCCCGGGAGCTCTGCTGCCATTGGGAACAGGTGGGATGGAGCTGGAGCTCTGCTCCAGGCTCTGGCTGAGCTCCAGGTGGGAATTGTTGGATCAACAGAGGCTTCCCTGCTCACTCCCCACACAACTGCTGGGGAAAAGCCTGGGAATCAGCTCATACAAAAAAACCCCAAAACCCTAAAACAACACCAACGGCTGTAAATTGAGGTGATTTCAGCCACCCCTGGGTTTGGCTGCAGGTGAAAGACTCTGGAGCATGGCATCCCCAAATCCCAGCATCCCCAAATCCCAGCATTTCAAAATCCCCGCATCTCAACATCCCAGCATTCCCAAATCTCTGCAACCCCAAATCCCTGCACTCCAAATCCCTGAATCCCAAAATCCCAAAATCCCCAAATCCCAAAATCCAGCTGCTGTAGGCACAGCATCCCAAAACCCAGCATCCCAAAATCCCTGCATCCCCAATCCCAGCATCCCCAAATCCCAGCATCCCAGCATCCCAACATCCCAAAATCCCTGCATCCCAAACCGCAGCTGCTGCAGACACAGCATCCCCACATCCTCATTCCATCCTGCCAGGGGCACAAGCTGGAATCATCAGGCTGGAATATTTCATGTGCTGTGATGGAAAACCCCAGAACTGTGTTTGGCTCGAAATTCCTTCTCTGAAATAACACCTCTGCCAAGAGTTTTTCAGGGAAAACCAGGCCCTGCCAGCTGACAAAGCTTCCAGTAACTTAAAATATTTAAATCCCAGTAATTAAAAACATTTAAAAGATACAGACAAGGTGATTCCACAACTCCTGGGGTCACCCCAGCTGTAATTTGTGTAATTTGAATAGAAGATGTGTAATTTGAATAGAAGCATGCAATATCACGTGGTGGAAAACTTAGAGTTCAAGGTTTAAAGATTTTAAGTTTTCAGACTTAAATTCCCAGAAGAACTAAAGCTCAGCAGCACAGCTAAGGAATCCTTCTCACGCTTGACAAAAAATCTGCATGGATTTTAAAATCTGCAGTAAATAAGGCAAATTCTAAACATTTCCCTCTCACTATTGCTTGCTCCCACACAGAACTCCCTGCCCTGCTGAGGGCCAGGATCAGCTGCATCCACAGCTCATGGAAATGTCATTTTGGCTCTGCAATAACTCAGGAATTCCCTTATGGCTGAAATTTTTAACCCCCCAATAACAAAAAAAGACAATTTACAAAACCAATTCAATTTTCCAGCATGTGGTGATGTATTCCCAGATGTGAACTGCTGGCACTGCCACAAACAGCTTAGTGGTTTTATATTGCCATTTAACATTTGGTGGCACGTGAGAGGCTTGAGGTCACTTAAAGAACCACCAGCAAAGGCATCAGCATAAGGAGGTTTAAAATAAAAGCAAAAGCACAACAAGGACTGTGGGCAAAGCTCACTCTGCTGCTCACTCAGTAATTAAAGCACACAGAGACAAAAATCTAACACTGGTTGATCTACAGCTAAAATCACCCCAGCCTCACTCACCCCAGATGTAAAGGGTGAATAACGACAATCACTTGTTTTTAAAATCTGAAAAGTTTGATAATAACAAAATGGTTATAAAAATAGCAAAATAATTAGAGCAATAATAATTTGGACAATTTGGATTAGGACAATATGAGACAATAAAAACAAAGAGTTAGGGACGGTCCAGGTACCTCTTTCTGGGCAAAATAAGCCCGAAAAAGGACCCACGTTAACAGAGGATTAACCCTTAAAAGCAACAGCCTGTTGCATATTCATGCACCTCATCCATGGTGCATAAATTCCATTCAAACACAGGATTCTGGCTGGGCAGTGTCAGCTGCTTCCTCTGAATCCTGACGGTGTCTTCAGGGCTGAGTGAGGTGGGAAGAACTTCATTTCTCCTGATAATGGGGCAATAAATTCTTTTTCTCTGAAAGATTTCGGTGTCCTGTGGCTGCTGTCTTGCTGCGAGTCCTTTCTTTAAAAAAAGTATCCTACACAGCATAGTTTCAATTTTAACATTTTGTTATAACTTAAAACTATATTTAACGCACTACTTAAGAAAATTAACACAGTACAACTTTCTAACACAACACATATAATATTCATTTTAATATTTGCGAAAAGCCAATCATAAAATATGCATTTGCTGCACGCAGTCACACCCCAAACAGAGCTGAGGAGCTGGCAGTGATAGTATAGGGATAAAATGTTTCTAAAATCATGGAATATTCAGGGGAGTTAGAAAGGAAGGATAGGCCTGGAAAAATGTTAGGCTGCACCTGTATAATCATTTAATGACTATGATAAATGATATGATTGTTAGATGTGATGATTGTTTGGCAATTGGATGTAATTATTGTTTAATTGTAACAAGAATAATGAGAAACGATGTCGGGGGGGTTTGATAGAAATTTAAAAAATCCATACTTGGATGAAATCAATGTATACAATAAAAAAATATAAGTTGCATAATTAATATGTAGTTATATAACGATAAAGATATAAAAATGTGTCCATCCCTGTAAAAAGGCTCCAGGAGGCGTTTGCAGGTCACAGGAGAGAGGGTGGACTTTGGCCATGGTCCTTTTCCATCCTGGCTGCAGTTTGGGCCTGGAGCTCTCTCTGAAAGCTCCACAGTGAAAATATTCCACTTGGGTTGTTCTTCAGGCAAGAAAAATGAGTTTCCAAAGCTGTTTGTTAAAGGACGAGCTCATTATCCATCCAGCAGGAATTCCTAGGAGCAGACAGTATTCCTGATAAGCTTGGAGGAGCTCAGAACAGGTGCTGCTTGTTGGAGCCTGATGGCATTTCTGAGATTATAGACCAGCCCCAGGCTCGGGGAGAGAGGAAGCACCACCAATTTATTGATGAAAAACCCCTGATGGTTCGCTCAGGAAACTCTTTTTCCTTTCAAATCGGGGGTTTTCCCTCTTTACCCGCTCATCTCCTGGAGTTGCAGTTCAGGAATTGTCCACAGGAGGGCAGCAGCGAGCGCGGGAAATCAGCGTCACTGTGCATGCGCCGCCCCCAGCTGCAGTTCCGGGTGCCAACAGCAGGCGGCAGCACGAGCTGCTGGCAATGCCGAGCGCCCGCCCCGCCCCATCCCGGCCCCGGGGGCTCTGCAATGGTTTGGGATGGAGCGACCTTAAAGCCCGTCCGGTGCCAGCCCTGCCATGGGCAGGGACATCTTCCCCTGGGCCAGGCTGCTCCAGGCACTGCCCAACCTGGCCTTGGACACGGCCAGGGATGGGGCAGCCACAGCCTCGTTATAGATGGGTAATGTGATAGTGGTCTCTCACAATTAAGGGATGAATATTGTGTGTATGTTAGGAAACGTTTTGTTGATGTATGGTTATGTTATTGTAGTTTGTTGTTTGGGCACCCTCTGTTCTCCCCACCGTCCCCTTTCCCCCCTCTGTATTGTTGCCACCCATTGGCCCAGGCTGTCAGGGCTGTCAGGGTCATGGGAGGGAGGGTGTGTACCGGTGCCCCTGGCATGGGGCAGCTGGGAATGGGGAAAGCCTGTTGCTGGGGAGTTGTGGTGTGACAACACGTCACTTTCAGTCAGACTGAAGGAAAGTTTCAACCAATGGACAGCAAGGAAGAGTAAACTGGCAGATTTTGGGAGGGGCCAGGCATTTATATGGAAAGTTTTTGAGTATTTATGACTGCTTACAAATTTGTATTTTCCTGATGCAACACCAGGGGTATAAAAGGCAGAGCCGCCATTTTGTAGCTGAGCCTCCGGCAGTTGGCCATGCTCCCAGTGTTGCCTCTTTTTCCTTATTCAGTCCCTTTGTGGTGTTGTTTTGGTTTGATAGACCTTTAACATTTTAAAATGAGCCCTCATTTCTCACAGGTTTCTCTTTTTTTGTTCCTTTTTACTTACAGAATTTTTCCCCTAAGTTGCTAGGAAACACTAATGACTGGGTCCTTAGGAAAAGCAAAAGAAGTGGCCAAGCTCAGGGAAGGAGGGCATCTGGTTGCATTTCTCTTACCTGGGAGTCTCTCTCTGAGGGGCGGAGATACCGTGAGAATTGGCCAGGTGAATGATGCAGCTGGGGCAGCTGCTGGGTCTCTCTCTCTCTCTGTCTCTCTCTCTCTCTCAGCTTTGGAGAGGGACATTTGGAGTTACTGCTTGGGGAAGGGAATTCACTGGTGCTGCCACAGCCCAGCCCAGAGCTGCTTCTTCTGCTGTGGGGTGAGCCTCTGCTTGTGAGATGTGAAAAATTTAAAAAGTTTAATAAAGGAGAATCGGAGACTAAGACAGTAAAGCAAAGATTATGGCTGGGTGTGTCTCAGCACTCAGCCAAGAGCAGACTGTCACCATCAGGGAAACCCCTTAAATACCTTTTCCATTACCTCATCCCATTGCATATTCATAGAGCGTTATGCATATCCATAATTTTGCATAAACTAGTAACATATTCCAGGAACTATTTTACATGGCCCCTCCTCGGGTCTGCCTTTTTAGAGTATGCCTGTTTCTTGGCTGTGGTTTTGGCTCTTTATCGCTTCCAGTCTGGGCCTTGGTCCATACTTTCTTCGGACAGCAGAAGCTGATAGTTGGCATTTCAACAGCAGGGTCCTCATGAAATGTGCACTGGGTGTTATCCCAACCAAACAGACAGTTCACTCGTACCTATATCAGCTACCACTACTACCATGTCTAAGATTTTGTTAATAGCAGAAATAAAAGCAAAGTTATTTTAACATATACATGTAGCATTCGTCTTAATATTTGCAAAAAACCAAGAGATTCGATTTGTCTTCCATTTTGTTTAACTTTTTTCTCTTTTCCTCCAGGGAAAATGGCAGGGGTGGCCTTGGCGTCTAGAGGACCTCATTTTTCTGGGGGTCATGGTGGCCTTGGTGATAATGGAGACCATGGTGAATGTGAGAAACGACTGCTCACTTTAAATATTTAATGGTTTAATAAACCACAACAACACAACAAAGGGACTGAATAAGGAAAAAGGGACAGCACTGGGAGTGCGGCCAACTGCCACAAAATAGTGGCTCTGCCTTTTATACCCCTGGTGTTGCATCAGGAAAATACAAATTTGTAAGCAGTCATAAATACTCAAAAACTTTCCTTATAAATGCCTGGTCCCTCCCAAAGTCGGCCAGTTGACTTTTCCTTGATGTCCATTGGTGGAGACCTTCCTGCAGTCTGACTGGAGGTGAGGTCTTTTCATGCCACGCCTCCCCAGCAACAACTTCTCCCATTCCCAGCTGCCCCATGCCAGGGGCACAGGTACACACCCTCCCTCCACATGACCCTGACACTCTGACAACCCGGGCTGTCTGGTGGCAACAATATGGGAGGAGGGAAGGGGACTGTGGGGAGAACAGAGACTGCCCAAACAAGAAACGAGAATAACATAACCACGTATCAACAAAACTTTTGTTACATACACACAATATTAACCCCTTAATTGTGAGAGCCGGTCATCACCTTACCTATCTATAACAAAGCTGTGGCCGCCCCACTTCTGGAAGGGTTGCAGGCCACATTGGGAAGGGCCTGGAGCAGCCTGGCCCAGGGGAAGATGTCCCTGCCCATGGCAGGGCTGGCACCGGACGGGCTTTAAGGTCGCTCCATCCCAAACCATTGCAGAGCCCCCGGGGCCGGGATGGGGCAGGGCGGGCGCTCGGCAGCGCCAGCAGCTCGTGCTGCCGCCTGCTGTTGGCACCCGGAACTGCAGCTGGGGGCGGCGCATGCGCAGTGCTGCTGATTTCCCATGCTCGTTCCTGCCCTCCGGTGGACAATTCCTGAATCACAACTGCCAGAATCCCCAAATCCCAGCATGGGTCAGGCTGGAAGGACCCAGAGTGGGCACCTGGCCCAACCTCCCAGCTCAGGCAGCATCATCCCTGAGACCAGGATTGGGTCCAGAGGAATCCAGAACAGGACACAGCACTTGACAGAACTGGACACAGCACTCCTGATGTGCCTCACTGGGCAGGGCAGAGGGGAATGATCACTTCTTGACCTCCTGACCCCGATCTTGCCAACACCCCCTGGATCCCTCCTGGCCCCAGGCCACACAGCCAGCTCCACTGGTTACCCTCCAGCACCTCCTGGTCCTTCTCCAGAGCTGCCCCAGCAGGTCCCCCTGAGCCAGGACTGGCACTTTGGACTGTCCCTTCCCAGGGACAGGACCCTGCCCTTGCCCTCTTGAACCTCCCAGTTTCCAGCCTTTAAGGTCCCCCTGAAGAACAGGATGTGTCAGGATGCTCTGCCTGGAATGTGCCCCAGGGACAATGCCACATTTCTGGCCATTGGGGCTGCATTGAGAGGGGTCTGCTGCTGATTTTGGTGCTGAATTGGGCTAAAACCAGCCCAAATCACCAACTCCGAATTGACAAGTGAGGATGAAGCACCAGAGCTGGGCGTGGCCATCCATCAACTGACCCTGGGAACATCCAGTCCCCTCTCAGACAGAGATTCCTCTCCCCTATTCCACCTGGGAATGAAATTTGTGTGAGGTTCCTCCCTCAGGAAGGGGATGCTCCTCAAGAATCCTTCTTGAGGCTGAGAGAAAGAGACATTCCCGTGAGTGTTGGTGTGGGGAGTAACATCAAGCCCTGCTTAAGAATGGTCGCTTTTTGCATGCTTTTTCAGATTTATTAATGGAATTGTTTTGATTGAATTTTTAAATAGAATTCTTTGCACAATGGCCTTGGTGGCCACCCTGGCCCGAGTGGTATCCTTGTGGCTGAGGGAGTCTTGGTGATCATGGTGGCCACAGCTGCCACAGTGACCACAGTTACCTTGGTGCCTTGGTGGCCTCATGGCTCAGACGATCCTGGTGGCCAGTGCCAGGGCTGCGGTGGTCAAGAGGAGTCCACTGAGATGGAAGGAAGCACTGGGGACGCTCCCACCTGGGGGACAAAGAGGGGCAAAATGGGAGACAACTGGGGGAGTGAGGGGACGGCCATAATGGGGGGTTGGGTATGACAGGAGAGATGGGGGCCATGAGGTGACAGGTGCCAGGGTGTCGAGGGGAGGCATGGGGGGGTACAGGGGCCAGGGAGGTCAGGGGAGTCATGGTGGGCTAAGAGGTGACAGCGATCAAGGGGAGTCAGGGATTGCCATGAGGGGTTTCAGGGGGTTACAGGGTTTCAGGGAGTGCCATGGGGGGTCCTGGGTTCTGTACCCAGGACCCATCCCCACAGCACTGCCTTTAGTGGGGAAGGACATGGTTGGTACCCTCGGGGTCCCTGTCTCTGTCCCTCTTCCTGCTCTTGTTGTCCCCTGGCACGGGTGTTCCTGTCCCTGTTCCCTCCCAGAAGTGGGGGTCCCTATCCCTGTTCTCTGTCATGTGTGTTCCTGTCCCTGTGCCCACAATGGGTGTCCCCAGACTTGGTGTCCCCAGCCCAGGGTATCCTTGTCCCCCCACACACTGTGAGTGTCCCTGTCCCCCATCCCCAGTGAGTGTCATTGTCCCCTGTGCCTTATCATGGCTGTCCCCATCCCCCCTGGCTGTCCCCTGTAGTGTCACCTCGCAGCCACTCGCAGTTGTATTTGGTGAAGGTCTCAGTGGAGCGGAGCTGGATCTGTGTCTTGTCCCCTTCCCGGGTGTATTGGGTGACCTTGAAAGTCTCAAAGGGTGGGATCAGCACGAGTTTAGGTTCTGGATGTTCACTAAAAGGTGTGATTTCCATGCCATGGCACGTGTGCACCTCGAGCATTGTCTCACCGGGGCACTCGCCAGTTTGATTGCTCAGGAACACTGCCATGAAATGACCGAACCGGATGGTGTCACCACGCTGTGCCTTGTACTGGGTGTCACACACCTTCAGGAACGTGGCCCGAGACTGCCTGTTCTGAGCGTCCCTCAGCGTGGCCAGGGCATCGGTCAGCAGGAAATGCAGCATTTTGAAGTGGAAGTTGTCTCGGTATTCCTGGCGGGAGCGTCCGGCCATGCGTACGGCATCATTGAATATTCTGGCTTCAGTCATTGTGAAGGCCATGATGGCAGTGGCCTGGTCTGGGGACAGAGGGCTCGTGAAGGGCCTCCGATTCTGAATCTTGGCTGCAGCCTTTACCCAGGCCTTGGCAAAATTCTCGTTCTGCTGGAACTCGGAGCGGATGAGGGCTGGCAATGCCGCCTTCATGGCAGGGCCGCAGCCCTGGTACTGGTCATCAAAGGAGTTCAGGGCCATGTCCAGGGGGATCACATTGACAGCCATGGTGGCCATGGCCATTGCCAGCAGAGCCAGGGTCTGAGCCAGGGGGACCATGGAGGGGAGAGGCCACAGGGACCGGTGTGGACACTGGAGGACACAGAGGGGACACAGGGGAGACACAGGGAGGGTTCATCAGTGAGGGACTGGGGAGGGGAGTGGGGTCAGCCCAGGGGGAAGGGAGGCACTCCTACCCAGCAGAGCCCTGGGCATGTCTGGGCTCCCTCATCCCAAATCCTGGGGTTACTTATGCCTCCCCAGCTGCCCCTAGCCCCCCAGGGATCCCAATCCCAATCCCACAGTACCGTGTCCTCCTGGCCCCCCAGAGGCCCAATCCTACTCCCATCACTACAAGTCCCCTCAGCCCCATAGGACCCCAACCCAAAACCTGGGCTCCCTCCCCGAGGCCCCCATCGTCCCCCTTGGCCTGTCTCCAGACCCCATTCCCACTCCCATTCCCCAATTTCTTCAGTGTCACCCCAGAACCTCAGCACAAATCCTGGCATCACCCCATGCCCCCACAGTGTCTCCCAGGCCCCCCATGACCCCAGTCCCACTCCCACCATCTCCCCTCATTTTTCCCCAGAGGAGCCCATGACCCCAGTCCCAGTCCTGTGACTCCCCCAGTGTCCCCACAGGACAGCAATATCAATCCCAATCCCAATCCCAATCCCAATCCCATGGTCACATCTCTCCCCCCACCAGGGATCCCCTGGACTCCCCCCAGTCCCTGATACCAGAATCAGCCGGAGTGAACTCCCTGGTGGAACTGGAGGTATCAGAAAGCCAGAATTCTTTATCAGCTCAGACTCACAGAGGATCTCTCCTGGTCCTGCAGGTCAGGGGGGGCTTTGCCACATGCAATTTATTCAGCAAAATTATAAATATTCATTAAAATGGGCCTCCTAGCCAATACCAAAACAGCACTTCTCCTGTAAATAATTTGCATAGCTCCGCCTCTCTCTGGAAATCCCTTTACTGCCCTGGAGACTTCCTGAACAGTGATCAGGAGCCATTTTCAATGAACATCTCAATACCACACATAACCTCACCTCGAACTTTCATTTTCGGGAGGCACTGCCCTTCCTGTGCTGCAGAACCTGTCAAAAACCGCACTAGGGCTCCTTTTCATCTCCTTCTCCTCTGCTCAAGAAATTGTCCTAAGCAGGTAAAAGATCTGAAAATCTCTAAAGAGATGGGCACAGAGGAGGAGGAATAGGGAGGTCATAGGCTCTATTTTTTGGGGGGACAAATACCATGTAGAGCCTGGATAACTTTAAAAGTGGGTTTCCAAGAAGAAGAAGAATTGGAAATATTCCAAATAGTTATAGTGTAAGCAAAAGCACTGTAAAAGTAACAGGAACAAAAGGAAAGATTTTCCCAGTTCCTGTCATTAAAATATGTAGTAATTGAAGGAGAAACTAAAATTCGGATGGAGGATGTCTTATTAGTGCCTGGAGCAGATAACAACTCATTAAGAAAAGGTTTACAGAAAAAGAATAGAGGTTATCTCACAAGAAGGGAAAATGACAACTAAAGTTTTAAAATTAGGCCAAGAGAATGAAAAAAAAAATAAACAAGGAAGTTTGGGCTGGGAAGAAAATAGGGGAGGATTAAATATTGACTGCATAAGGGTTACAATTGAGAGAGAAGATCGTCCCATATGTGTAAGTACCTCATATCTTTAGAAGGACTGGAAATTTTGAAGCTGGTGTGAAAAATGCATGTATTTTATGATTGGCTTTTTGCAAATATTAAAATGAATATTATATGTGTTGTGTTAGAAAGTAATGCTGCATTAATTCTCTTAAGTAGTGTGTTAAATACAGTTCTAGGTTATAAAAAATGTTAAAATACAAACTGTGCTATGTAGGATATTTTTTTAAAGAAAGAACTCACACCAGATAGCAGCCACAGGACACCTGAATCCTTCAGAGAAAAAAATCATTGCTCTGTTATCAGAAGAAATGAGGTTCTTCCCGCCTCAAAGGCACTGTCAGGATTCAGAGGAAGAAGCTGACACTGCCCAGCCAGAATCCTGTGTTTGAATGGAATTTATGCATCATGCATGAGGTGCATGAATATGCAACAGGCTGTTGCTTTTAAGGGTTAATCCTCTGTTAACGTGGGTTCTTTTTCTGGCTCGTGCTGCCAAGAAAAGGTACCTGGACTATCCATAACTCTTTGTTTTTGTTTTTATTGTCTCATATTGTCCTAATTCAAATGGTCCAAATTATTATTACTCTAATTGTATTACTATTTTTATAACCATTTTATTACTATTAAACTTTTAAAATTTTAAAAACAAGTGATTGGCGTTTTTCACATTGGTAATAAAAAAAACTTATAAGAGATGAGATATTAGAACTTTATATGTCTTCTCATAATACCCCTATTCTTCCAGTAAAGAAGTCCATTAAACTAATTTTTTTTTTGGAGAAACCGAAGTTAAAATTAGAGAAGCTACTATATAACTTTTGAATTTTCTGTGGAGAAAAGGATTAAGGGTATCAAAAGGGAAACTGCAATTTGTAGAACCAGAGGTAAAATATCTTAGACACTTAATAAATAAAGGTAGCTGGAAACTCAACCATGAGAGAATTGCAGGAATTTTATCCCTTCTCTCTCCGTCTTCAAAGAGGGAGATCAGAAAACTACTTGGATTATTGAAATATTACAGATTATGGATTGAGGGGTACACACCAGCAGTAAAATTTGTGTATGAAAAATTGACGGAGATGATTTGAAATGGACCAAGGAAGATATTGTTAAATTAAAAGAGGTGAAGTTAAAACTAGCCTAAGTACCAGCTTTAAGCTTACCCTTGTTAGAAAAATCCTTTATCATTTATACATAAATATAGAAAATAAAGTAGCTCATAAAATTTTGATTCAGGAGTGAGGAAGAGCAAAAAAAAAGCCCCAAAAAAACTAGTAGCTTATACATCAAAGATGTTAGACCCAGTAAGCCACAGCTAGCCAGTATGTATTTAAGCTACAACAGCTACTGCAATCCTAGTAAAAGAAAGTTGTAAGCTTACTTTTGGAAGTAAACACGTCTGAGGTGTGTTGAATCAAAGAAAAGAGAAAAAGATAAGGAAAGAAAAAGGAAGTTAGACGAGAAGAAAGAGAGAAGTTGAAGCAGGGGGGTGGTTAGCAGACTCTGGTATGTTTAAATGTGGAGTGAAGACGCCTTGGTGCTAGAAGAGAGCAGAAGTGTGAATGCGGTTTTTTGTTTGCATGAAAGGCAGGAAAGTGTCCTAACACACGGTTGTTAAGAGCTGAACTGAGGTCCAGAAAGGGTTTAGCAGAACGGGCTCTCCTTGAAGGGAAAAGAGGAGAAGTTGACTAGAGAAAGGAAAGGAATGTCAGGAGCACCTGGGGACGCCAGGTTTGGGGTTGTCAAGGTTGGGAGGTGTCTGACCGCTCCCTACGAGCGGCAGGGTCTCGGGGGCTGCGGCAGGCACCGATCCATGGAGGTGACCCGGCGGCGGTGCTGGCAGCAGGGGACACACGGGTTTGCCGGGCAGGAGCGGGCTGGCTCCGTGGCGGAACTGCCAGGGGGGCTCCCAGGCTGCCGGGGTCCCGAGTCGAGGATGGCTGCGTCGGCCCCGGTAAGTGGGACTAGAGAGAGAAGGAAAGAGAAAGAGAGAGAAGGAGAGAGAGAGAGAAGGAAAGAGAAAGAGAGAGAAGAGAGAGAGAACGAAAGAGAGAGAGAGAGAAGAGAGAGAGAAGGAAAGAGAAAGAGAGAAGAAGAGAGAGAGAAGGAAAGAGAAAGAGAGAGAAGAGAGAGAGAGAAGGAAAGAGAAAGAGAGAGAAGAGAGAGAGAAGGAAAGAGAAAGAGAGAGAAGGAGAGAGAGAAGGAAAGAGAGAGAGAGAGAAGAAGAGAGAGAAGGAAAGAGAAAGAGAGAGAAGAAGAGAGAGAGAGAGAGGGCAAAAGGGACCCAAGGCAGCCCCCAGGGTCCCCATGCCCATGGCTGTTCTCCCCTGCTCCGGCCCTGCAGCGAAGTGGCGGCACCAGGGGAAGAACAGCATTGACAGCAAGGCTGTGAAAAGAGGGGAGGGGGCTAGCACTAAAAGATAAAATCAAAGCAGAGATTGCTGACTCTCCAAACCTCACAAAGTGGTTTATTTTTTAAAGTAAGGGGTTTTTTTCCCGTTTTGTTTGCTGTTAAAAAGAGGAGGCATTTGTTCTGAAAAGTGGGTCTGTAAGACTAAAAGAGTTAAATGCTGCCCAAAAAGTAAAAAGCCATAGATGTGATTCATCACATGTTAAAATTAGATTGGCCTTTCTTATTTAACTAACTGTAACTCACAAAAAGAAGAATTTGCCTCTGCAGCTATTAGCACAGCTGGGTACAAAAAGAAGAGGCTGCTGTGGAGAAAGCTTTTAGCTAAACCCAGAAAGTTTGGAAGAAAAGTGAATGGTAAAAGTTAATGCAGTATTGTCTTTCTTTTATTACTATGCTATTAAGAAGTCCTTTCCAGGTACTACTGAAGTAACAATCAGAATCATGGAAAGAGGGTGAATTCATGCCAGCAGAATCAAAGGTCTTGTGAAGGAACCTGAGGAATGGACTATCACATTTAAACCGGGTGATACCGAACTGACTTTCCAATGGGGACTGAGTGGTAATGGTTTGGAAAAAGGCAAATGATCCAAGAAATGTACAAAGAATAACACCTAATTAAGAAATAAGAAAACGCTTATATCACTGGTTTCAAGCACTGCCTGAATAAAACATCTCCTTAGGGGAGGAATACTCCAGACAGAAGGATCAAGACTGTTTTTGTATTCTGACCTTAGCCTGAGAATTGTACAGGAGAGAAGGGGAATTACCATTTCCATCAGTATCATACTGTAAACTTTACTTGATTCATCTCGATACTGGACACGCTAGCTGGGTTATGAGTAAATGCTTGAATTGTGAGAATAATTAGCATTGTACTTCACAAAATTTATGCTCTTGTTGCAAGAAGTGTTAAAGTAATAATTTTGTTTTGTAGATGGGAATT